AAAGAAGTTATGATAAACCTTGAAGGACTGCTAGGACCATCATAAACCAGTGAAGTCTCTGCTTCTACTTCACATTCTCTACAAGATCTAGAGATAATTGTGTTCAGATCTGAGGTCAAAGTCCTAAGTTGAAAATACAGCACTGTATTTGATCCAGGCTTACTTGATATTTTTCTGACTCCTTCTTAAAAGAGTTTTATTGAGATAAAATTTACATATCACTTCTTCTCAAACATAGTCTACATTCTGTTGGCCTAGTCATCCTCTCAATACCCACCACCAATCTATGTTTACACATTTTCAAAACTCAATAAAACATGAATGGCAAACAATTACATACCACTTACTTGATGCAGAGCACTGGTGAAAACCTCTTTTAATTTTCACATCTGCAATCCAATGAGCAGAGTGATGTTGAAACATTGTCTAAACTGGGGTACTTTGGAGGGTGAAAGAGGTCACTAAATGGATGCAATGCTGGGACAGTAACATAAATCAGGATTCTCCTGAGCCAACTGAGATGTGTGGTCTCCCTCCCCACGAGGTAAGCATATCATTTCTCCCCAGCTGCTGACAATGGGACAAGAGAGGTCAAGTAACTTGACCAAGGGCACACAGCTAGTGGAAGGCAGAGCCTGGATAAGAGGCAGGGTGTTTTGATTCGAGAGACTGCTCCTGACACTATTGATATCTTGAGTTGGAGACTTATGGACCTTCACTTTGTGGCTCAGATGGATCCTTGGGACCTTATCCCACATCTGCACTAGGTGAACTCCAGGTGGATTTTTGGGCGGTTTTCTGCTTGTGGCCTTTCCTCTCAGTGAGCTTCGTTTCCCAACTGTCCTTGTCTCAGTCTCACAGAATTGAAACTCCTTATTCATTCCCAATGCCACATCAAAGACAGCCCACTTCTTGTGCTCTCTTCTGGCCCCTGAATCTCTTGGGATGGCCCTTCCCAGGACCTCATGGCTCTCCGAGAGCAGCTCTGTCTGGACATCCCAGGACCTAATCCCAAGGCCCTTTACTCCCTATTCATGCTCCTTGAGGGCACAGTCTGTGCACCTCTGGTCTTTGTTGGACAGTAGTCAACATGTAGCTGCTTAATTACTTGTTGTGTAACTGTGTTTCAGGACAGATTTTTAATTTTTACAAAGAATTCACTGATTATATCACATGCTTTATTATTCTATCTGTTTAGGGAGAGAGGCTCATTTAAGCTTGAATCTTTGGTAAAGGCAAGAATCAAACCCAACACTAAAACCAGACATCAGCGTGCATCCTGGTGCTAACACCACGTTCTTTCTGTTCCCGGATGAGGACTTTGGAGTCACAACAGAGAGGGGTCAGGTGAGGAGAGGAGGAAGTTGAAGCCCATAACATCAGGGATGGGCCAACTCAATCTCCCTGTTCTGCAGAAGTAGCCATTACCTTGATCCAATATAAACCGGATCCATCTAACGACTTGTGTCGGGGAGCCAGATTTGTTAGCTCAAATCAAAGCTGATGGGGAAAGATCAGTTCAGCCTCAGGTAATTCCCCTTGGCTCATTCACCAAAACAGTGAACTTTGCACAACTTGACCTTTCCATAAAATGTGTGGTTAAATACTTAATCCCATACACTTGTGACAGTTCATATGGTTCATTAGGTACCTACAAAAACATCTTCTCTATTTGTTAGTAATTTTCCCTCCACTGCATGCCCACATTTTCTTCCTAAGTGTAGGCATCCACAGTTGTGAATCTCTGGTTCTTACGGGCATTACAAATACTGTGTGCAGGTTCTGACATAAAGTATTTCCACTGCTAGAGCGGTGATTTTCTTCTAGGACTGATTTACTTCATCATCCCACCCACATCTGTGGACATCATTAATGCCTAGAGATGTTTGTGGTGCTTCCACAGGGTGGGTGGTTTGCTATTGGCATCAAATGGGTAGAGACCAGAGATGCTGCTAAACAACCTGCAATGCTCAGGACATTCGCTCACAAAAGAATTCTTTAGCCTCCAATGTCAGTAAAGCCATGGTTGGGAAACCATGCCATAGAGAAATGTCTAAAAGCATTTGCCCTTGTGGTGAAAGGTCAGTAGTGCAAGGCAGCCTCAAACAGTGGACCGTGAGTGGAGTCCCAGTGCAGACAGACACCGGCAGGAGTGTGGGCATCTGTATCCTCTAGTGTGTGGAGTTCAGCTTCGTGGCCAAACCTCTGCCCAGATAGTCCCCATATTTTCTCTGTCCTGTCATCCTCATCCAGGTTGCCCTTCAAGATCCAAGTCAATCATAACCTCATCACAAAATCTTCCTTCCTGGAGAATGCACAGATCATAAGGTCTTTGCTCTCCTTGAATTTCTATAGGGCTTTAGTTTCTATGATAGAATCTCATTCTTAGTGATGTGCCTCATCCTTTTCTTCGGTTCTCACTCTCTCATTTTACATGATAAAAATGTCTTGTCATTTAACATGATAATTAATTTTTAAGGCAATGTAATAATTGTGTTTTCACAGTGCCTGGCCATAGTTAGCAAGAAAAAATGTTGCTACTACCTTTATTACCTCTATTGTTATTAGCTACAGATGGATTTGCAACACAGGAACCTATGTGGAAGAGGACAACTGTATATCTCTAGCAAGGAATGCTTGCTGCTCCTCTTCTCTGTGCAAGGATGGCTCAGTTAGCCATCAGCAAGCAGAGGAGTGGTCAAATTGGGTCTCCATAGGAGCCTGTCTCTGTAACCAAAGTGCAGCCTGCAGCTTTCCAGTCCCTTGATCTGCCCTCCTGGTGTCACAACATACTTGTGCCTCTGCACTGTCATAAACTCATTATACATTTGTAAGTCTTCAACCCCATAATTGAGTCAAAAAACATCAATGCGCCAGAAAAGCCTACAAAAGGGACATTGACCAAGTCATCGGGGCTAGGGACAAATCCCCCAAGGATGGGAAGATTGAACTGAAATAGTCCATTAGACAAGAAGGAGGGCAGACATGAAAAAGCATGAACTATGAAAAGTATAAAAAACCTGAACAGTTGTGAAGAGCTTTCAGAATAATCAAAATATGTCCCTCCCTGATGAAATGTACTGTGAACCTGAGCCTGTGCGAGCACAAGCTCTGTTCAGCAGATGTGGAGATGTTGTGACAGCTCAGCGTGACATCAGAGAGGTTTCACTACCCAAGTCGTGCCCATGAGTCTGTAGACTAAAACCGTAAGCCTGGCTTCCTCCTCCATAGATTTCAGAGAGAGAAGGTGTATCTAGGTTTCCTTAGTGTTCTGACAAGTGGTGATTATGTTGTTTTCATCAGTGCCCTAAACTAGGAACTGGTGACAACCCATGAGGTTTGACAAAGAGAACAAGATAACAGTAAAGATTTTTTGAGAGATTAGTATGTGCCAGACCCTGCTAAATCTACACACACATGCACACGTATTCATCCTACAAAACCTATCATGGGGCACTTTTATGAGCCATCTTTTCTGGATGAGAAAACTGGGTCCTCTTAGAGAAACTGAGTAATTGTCTGAAGGTCTGAGACCATGAACGATCTGAATATAGCTCTCCATGCTCCTCACCACCGTGTCTCCTGATCCTGGGGGTGGAGGCAGAGCTGCCTACAGGTAGCCCCTACCATCTTGTGTAATTGATGTGGGTGCCACTGTGGCCCTCCACTGGGTCTTATCCAAACCTTGCAGTGTGCTCACTGATAAAACAACTTGTAAACATGCTCCTTTGTAATAAAGGTCTTTCTCGGTTCTTCTCAGTTCTGCTACCCCACAGAATCACCAGTGGAGTTTAAATAGTACAGGTGCCTGGGCATCACCTCAGGCCTACTGAATCAAAATCTCCAGAGAAGGGAGTCAGGGAATAGGTATTTTCTAAAAGCTCCAAAGTCATTTGATTGTACAATTGAGACTGCAAACCTCTGTCCGGGACTGTGAGTCCTCTCAAATATGCTTTCATTTAAGCAGGTAATTTCTGATGAAAGACAATGCTTCCTACTCACACAGAGCAGGAGGGCACAAGAGTGGAATGGCAGGTGGGGATTGTATTGCCTTGGCTGGGTGCTGCCTTCACCTGCGTTAGAAATGAAATTGACCCTGGTAGAAAAGCTCGATTTGAATGGAAGACTTGAGCTCATGGGAGGGGAAATGGGCACCTGCCACGTTCACCTGTCTCTTCATTCCATCATCTTCCCTGCCTGGATTCCAAGATCAGAGAAACTAGAACACCTGTGATGCTTCTCTGGCTCCTGACACCTCCGGACTTCTGGGGAAAAAAGAGCATTGAGTTCATTTAATCATCACAATAAATCTAAGATGACAGGTGGGTGGCTAGTCATCATTGTAGGCTTACTCTTTGGGGACTGAAGATATGAACCTCTGCATTGTTGTCATCTCCACCAGACACAAAGTCTCTGGCCTTGGAATGAGCCAGTGAGAGAACAGATAAAGCAGGTTCTCCTCGAGGAAGCTCTCCAAGGGTGGGGTGTGTTCCACAGTGTTTTAAGATATCTCTGTGAAGGTGGTGGTTATGGAAGGGAGAGGATAATTCTTGTTCAGACTTGATCAGTGTGTCCTTGAACCAGGCAGGTCAGCCATCAGCATGCAGAGGAGTGGTCAAATTGGGTCTCCCTAGGAACCTGTCTCTATAACCAAAGTGCAGCCTGCAGCTTTCCAGTCCCCTGATCTGCCCTCCTGGTGTCACAACATACTTGTGCCTCTGCACTGTCATAAACATACAAAGAGCAAAGGCTCGGAGGTACACAGGACACAGTTCTAGAGGTGACGGAACACTCCCCTGGAGGACAGAGCAGAATCCCTCAGGGCTGCTCTCCTGGAGTCTGTCCCACCTGGGAAGGATGGAGGCATGGGGAAAGTGACACAGAGTGATGAAATCAGCCCTGAGTCAGAAAGGGAGGGCTGGAAGCCAGACCTTGTGACCTGCCACGTGCTAGCTGGGCAGAACCAGTGATGCTTTCCGGGTACAAATAGCCCTGGACTCCCCAGGCTCCTGAGTGCAGCTCCTAACTGCTCATCATTCGCTAAAGCTGAAAGCTCAAAGCAAATAAACAACCATGAGGCTGTTCCTGCCAGTCCTGCTGGTCACTCTGGCCCTTTGCTGCTGTGAGAGTGAGTATCATTTCTAATAAGTCCTGAACCAGCTGTGGTAAGTAACCTTGTCTGAACTAGATGAACTTAATTGGGGTGATCAGATCAAAATCCAAACCTTTTCCTCGACTTGTGAACTAGCCCCCAAAAGCCCGGGGCTCATTTTCTCAAAACCTAATACTTCGGAACTTTTACAACAAATCATTGCAGGCAAACTTAAGAGTTTTCCACCTGAAGCCTGACTCCTTGTCCGTGAGCTGTGTTTGAGAACCTGCGTAACCTAATAAGATTTGGATGAGAATCATGGCTCTGCCACTTACCAGCACTTCGAGCTCGAACAAAATGTTTAATGTCCTCAAGTCTCCTCACGTCATCAGGTTTTACAGGAAGCACTGACAGCAGCTACGACAATGGAGTGGCATGAAGTGTGTCAGGAGTTCAGTTTTAGGTGTCGATCTGACATCTCCTAGTTATCAAACGTTCTCCTTCCAGAGAGTTTTAGGTGTCAGTTGAGTCCATAGCATTTAAACTCATAGATTCAGATTCATAAAATGCTACAAATGGAAGAGTTTTGGAGAGTTCTCGGTTCAAGAAGAGCCAGTGTTCTCTGAATCTCTGAATAACAAATCTTCAAGTGGGCTCTGTGAATAAGCAGCACTCAATGTGTCTAGGATTACCACCAGGACTTGGAGGAGAGCTAGCACCGCCATTAGGGCTATAGTTTCTATTTTTCTAGATTAGTTCTAGCCATTTATTAAACGATACTTCTGCATGTCATCATGCCCCTGATACTGACCTATTCTCACAGAGTCTTTCTCTTTCATCTGACTTTCTAAACATCCACCTCTTTCCCTTTCTGGCCTCTGCTTTTACCATCTCCAAATACTCTGCATAGTTGGATGTCTAACTGGGGACAGATCAGAGCCAGGTAGGATATGTCTCAGGCTGTACGCTGCTTGCAAAACCTTGGGGGGCTGGAGAAGCCAGATGAGGAAAAGTGGTTACTTCAAGTCTCAGCACAATTCCAGGGGGTCAGGAACGGGCCACAGTTTCCAACTCTCTGAGAAATTCTGACCATCACTGCAGAAAAAAAGGGCTAATCATAACTTTCTGTACAAGCTCCAAATGTGTTCAAAGTGATTAGATTTACCTTTTTTAGCCTTGTAGCTATGTCTGTATCCCAGGACATAATCCTATTCTTTAATTTGGTCTCAAGGGGTCATCCAATGTATAAATACTTTACTTCCTCTTCTCCAGATTTACTCTTCCTTCTATGATCTCCAGTAAGATTCTGAACCTGACATTTATTTGAAATTTTATTATTAAAAATCTCCTCCCGGGGCTGGCCCCGTGGCTGAGTGGTTAAGTTCGCGCGCTCCGCTGCAGGCGGCCCGGTGTTTCGTGGGTTCGAATCCTGGGCGCGGACATGGCACTGCTCATCAAACCACACTGAGGCAGCGTCCCACATGCCACAACTAGAAGGACCCACAACGAAGAATATACAACTATGTAACGGCGGGGGGCTTTGGGAAAAAAAAGGAAAAAAAATAAAATATTTAAAAAAAAAAAAATCTCCTCCTGCCCAATATTTAAGACAAGTAAGGTGTTACTCTATTAGAAGGAAAACCCAATCTAGGAAAAGTAAATTTAAGGAAAAAAGAGTAGTTTTGGAAAGGAGTGTTGGGACCCTGAAAAAAAAAAAGAATTAGGCATCATGAAACCTGGTGTCCAGTCCTAGCTCTGCTGCATGCAGTGTGACCTTGAGGAAACCATGACTTTGAGGGTCTCACAATATCATCAGCACAATGAAAAGATGAAAATATAAAATCCCTGGGTTTCATGTCTAGTTCTAAAATCAAGAGCCAGAGGAAAAATCGCCTTTCCTTAACACGAATTGTATTTCTTTTTCTTCTGCTCCAGCCAATGCGGCCACCTGTCCAGCCGTTGCTACTGATATAGCAAGCTTCTTTCTCCTTCCTGACTCTCTCTTCAAGCTACAACTTATCAAATATCAGGCACCTCCAGAAGCCAAGGATGCCACGATGCAAGTGAAGCAATGTATAAATGAGATCTCTGCTGGGGACAGATATATAATCACAGAGACCTTGGTAATTCTTTCTTCTCGGTACATAGAGACTTCTCCTCAGATGAACAGAGAGGAAGGAGGTCAGGGTGCTGCTCTTGAGGGGACAGATGGTAGAGGCACCTGCCTCTCTGTTCACATCTGATAGGGTGACCCAGTGCCCACAGGGTGCATGATAAGATTATACCTACTGCACTATACCAAGGCTGCACAACGACCTGGCCATCTTCCTCTTTCTCAGGTCACCTCTCTGGGTACCACGTTGCTCATAGTGTCCTGTGGAGGAGGACACTTGGGGCCCCATGTAGTGATGTTGAAGGGTAAAAGCACTGCTGCCTCCCTGCCTGGAAGCTTTCCTGAGGGCGAGTTCCCTCACCCAGGGACACAGTCCCTGTGGAATCTCATGGGGAGTGTTAACCGTTGAATGAAGAGACAGGTGAGAGGGAGGGAAATAGACCTTGTCCTCCATCAGGATGGAGGCGGTGCTGGCTGGGTCCTTGCCGGCTTCTACAGAGGTGAGGCCCACTCCTTGCACCTCGGTCCGCTTTTCTATTCCTCACCCACAACTCTCCTCCTTATCATGGCCAGTGGCAGAGACCTCACTTTTTATGTCTCCTGTGGCCACTAGTGAAGGTAAAACACTGAAATTATGTCTTTATCAAGAAATTAGATATTTAAAGCTATCTCTCAACCCATCTACCTCTGAATTTAGGTCATGAGGTTCAGCTGCAAATGCCCACAGATGCTTGATTCTCAGTGTTGGAAATACATGTGCCATCAGGTTGAATTTCCACACCACACAGCAGGGAATCTCCTGAAAGCAGTACTTCCCAAGTCCTCTTTGCTGGCGTCCTCTCTCTCAGGACGTCCACGTCTCAACCCTGTGTCCCCTTTGGAGTCTTCTGTCCAAGGACATAAAAAAAAAGGAAAACCTGCACTGCTCTGTCCAACCCTTCACCCACTCCTTCCATAGAAACCTGAGTCCTACTCTCGGGTCACCTCAGGGTTTGTTTGCTGGACTATGAAATGGTTCTTTCCTGACTTTCATGGTTGCTTGAATTGTATCTGAGTCCATTTAGTTTATTGCACACTAGGGTCCTGCCTGGTGTCTTCCATTTGCCTTTTGTTGGTTGAAATTTTATTGACATCTTGGTGTGAAGAACGGTCTATGTTAATGTGTCATCTCTAGGAGAAGCATGACTGACCTCCCATTTCTTTCTCGTTTTTTTTCTATTTCAGGGGAAAATAGTGTTGCAGTGTGGTGCATGAATCTTCTAAAGTAGTACCCCTGTCTTTCAATGGTCACCTGCTCCTCCCTGGAAAATGTAAAGGTTTCAACATCTTGCTTTAATAAATTACTTGCCTTGCATTTCTCTACTTGTCTTGTCATTATCCCACAGCCTCTAGACTCGAGGTGGGGTGGTTTCCATCATGAAGTTGCCATTGGGTGTTGTCACTAGTAAATTTCTCAGACCCGACATGCAGTTACCCATGGCGGCCTGAGGTCCTGTGATCAGAAGAGGAAGTATTTGTTGTGAGCCATCCTGCATTACTTTACAGGTTTCCCATTTATGTTGCCATGAGTGAAAAGAATGGTTAGGGTAAAAGGCAATGAAAACATCCCTGCTACTGGTCTTTACTGAGTGATACTTGTAGCCTAACTGTCTGCCCAGCCAGGTGGTTCCCAATCAGAAGCATCAGTAATATTTAGTCCTCATCACCACCCACTGGTTTTCCCCCTTCACTGTGCTTTCAAACCTATGATCTGTCCAGTGTAATTTGTTTTCATCCACCTCTCAATTGTAGTGAATCACTGGGGTTTAATCTTCAGTTAACTCTTTTTCACTGTGCACACTCCCACGACTCATCGATGTCTGCGCCACTCGCCAACACCTCAGGCTGAGGCTTCCTCCCTCACATTCTCCCAAGATGTCCAGACGCAAGCATCCGGCTGCCATCTGGACAACTCTATTCAAGCACTCCACAGTTATTTCTGAAGGAATATATAAAATTTAACTCATTGTCTGCCCACAACCTACTCCCCTTCCATGTGCCACCACAACCTGGCAAATGGGACCACCACCCAATGAGGCATCTGACTCAGAAAACGTGGATGCATCATAGGCTCTGAGTTAGTTTCCCGTGGCTACTACCACACACTTGGTGGCTTAAAGCTGCTTATTTTCTCACAGTTTGGAGGACAGGAATCCACAGTCTGTACCACTCTGCCAAAATCACTGTGTCCGGAGGGCCATGCTCCCTGTGGAAAGTTGAGCTGAAAACCTCCGAGGTGCTTCCAGCTGTGACGGCTGACATTGTACCTCATCTTGTGTCCATATCACTCCAATCTCTGCTCTGTGAGGCCACCTTGCTTTCTCTTTTTCTGAGTGTATAAAGTTTTCCTCTGTCTCCTTGATGCAAAATCTATGGGATTGCATTTAGAGGACGCCAGGAAATTCGGGTTAATCTCCCCATCTCGCAATCCTTAACATTTTCCACGTCTGCAAAGTCCTTTTCTGCCAAGGCAGAGTAACATCATAGTACCAGGGATTAGGATGTGAATATTTGGGGTGTTTTGTAGCTTACTCTAGTTCATCTCCCTCCTGCTGTCTAAGAGCCCACAAAATTCTGCCTCCTCCACTGCCACAGCATCGCCTCTGAGCTTCCCCTGCTTTCCATCCCCATAACCATCCTCACAGTCCAGTCCTAGTCCTTCCCGGCTTTCTCAAAAGTCTCCTAAATGATCTCCTGGGCTCTGAGATACCTTCCAGCCACACATCGACTCGTTGGCACCACAGTGATCCTCCCAAATCAAAATGTGACCCTGATCTCACTTTGATAACCCTGAAATACTAGTGGGCACGTGTATCCAAATGTTTCAAGTAAGAGGACATTATTAATTCTGAAGTCACTCTCACATCTTTCATAGTAGGTATTTTTACACAACCTCTTGATTTAGAAATGGAGGGTGACAGTTATCTACTCTTATCAATGATCAGCAGTGCTTTTACAATAAATGTGTATTTTTAATCACATCTAGAAGTACATATCCTGAAATTAGTCCTTATTCTGTGAAACACATTATGTATCCAGTCTATACACTATGCTTGGTGGATGCAAGGATTCAGCGAGCTCTTGCAACGCCCTGAGAACCCAGATTGGAGTCACTGCTGGAGGGGCCAGTCTCACTGTTGGCGTTGCGCACAAGGACTTTGAAGACCCCGTCCCCGGGCAGCCCTCTGACCTCATCCATCTGCTCACCAAGGATTCTATGCTCAGCCTTAGTGCTCTATTTGCCATTCACTTATGCATCGTAGGGAGTCTCACCCTTGTACCAGACCTCTCATGCCCCCTTTTGCCTCTCTATCCTTCCCTGCACAGGAAAGCTGACATACTATGTGTAGTGTCCATTTCTTGCGTCCTCCTTTGTAAAGTCCTCTTTGACTCTCACATTCTAAAATAAACCTTTGTTCACAGACATTAATTTTATTTTTTAATTTTTAATTGTTTTTTTGAGGAAGATTAGCCCTGAGCTAACATGTGCTGCCAATCCTCCTCTTTTTGCTGAGGAAGATCAGCACTGAGCTAATATCCATACCCATCCTCCTCTACTTTATATGTGGGATGTCTGCCACAGCTTGGCTTGATAAGCGATGCTAGGCCCACACCTGGGATAGGAATCGGTGAACCCGGGGCCACCAAAGCAGAACGAATGAACTTAATCACTGCGTCACCGGGCTGGCCCCTCACAGACACTAATTTTACACTCAACAACACAGACAGAGATACATATTTTTACACACACACACACAGAAACCCACAGACACGTACACCTAATTAGACATGCACACAGACACAGACATACACACAGATACACACACAGTCACAGACACACCTAGAAACATGCACAAAAGACACACACACAGACAGGCATACACATCCTTCTATTATCACTTTATCTTTCTGTGATATAATGTTAATATCACAGAGTTGTGGTGAGAATTTATTGAATGAATTAATAATGTAAAGCAACAAATAATATCAACCATTATTATTTTTCCTAAGACACTGAGAGCGTTTGTGCATTGAGCACCCTTACGGTCTGGACAGTTTACCTATTTGTCTCACGTAGTCCTCACTAGTCTCCAGGAAGGTACAGGATGTTCCCGCCACTGACCATCAGTGGGGATGAAGAATGTCCTACCCAGCGTTCCTCAACCTTGGCTCTCTGTTAGAATTAATCAGGAGGATTTCCAAAGCAAGTGATGCCCAGGCCCCAGTCCAGGAGAAATACATTAGTGTCTGCGTATAGAACTGAGGCAGTCCCCATTTCCTCACCTCCATCTCCTACAGGGGCAGCCACTCAGTGAATAGGGAGGAGGACCAGACTCTCCATGAGAGACAGAGAACCCCCAGTGTCACCAAAGAAATCACCTTCAGATCTTTCTTTGGTCACTTATAGTCCTTCATACCTGGCAATTGCAAGTCACTCATGAGTTTCACAGCTGTAAAGCTAATGAACTTATGATCTCAAGCAGAAGAATTTGCTTCATGAGCTGCTGTGTAAGAGTGTGAGTTGGGATAATGTAAACTCCAAAGCCTGGGGCTGGAAGGTTTATTTGTCTTCTCAAAGAAGAGGTTTAGATGTTTAGTAACTGTTTGGGATTATGACAAGTTTCTGGAAAAGGACACTGGTGGCTGCATTGTGAATACACTTAATGCAACCGAATTATAGACCCAACCATGGTTCAATCATAAATTTTATGCTATGTGTATTTTACCAAACACATAAAAATAGGCTTCACAGGCCAAGCCCTCCATGAGGCAGCAAAAAGATGACTGTAATGGGAGCAGGCCCTGTATTTCGATCCCCACTGGACATGCCCCCAAGAGCTGTCGGCACCTCAAAGTCAAACTACCTCTGGTGTCAACTGTGTTTGATTTGCCTCCTGGAATATTTATTGTTGAAGACATGACTAATTTTAAGAAACTCTGGTTCAAACTCACAGATTGAGTTCATCCAAGTACAAAGGATTGACTCGTGCAGAGTCTTGCCTTTATCCCTTGAGGCCTCTCATTCCTCCCCTGGGCAAGTCCTATCATGCTCTGCCTAGACTCACCTCCTCAAGTATCTTCTCCCTGCAGCCATCTCACTCTCTGTGACAGGGCCAATATTCTGAACACAAAGCTCTGGTTCTGTCACACCCTCACTTAAAGAAACCTTCAATGCCTACCATTTCTTATGGTATAAAGCTCAATGTCTCCATTCAGAAATTAGAATGTTCAGGACTGTATAATAATTAAGACCATCTTGATTCAAAATTAAGCCTTCTTTCTTTCTCTCCTTTACTTGTACTTTTTCTCTTCCAGCTACTAAACATAGTTTCTCACATTGCTAGGGCATAGGGGAAGGGGAGAGACAGGAAAATAAGAAAGTTCTGAATTGACTCATACTCTTTGGTTATTGGTCCAGGTTCTCTGGCCCAGGAAGATGCTGTCTCCTGTAGGAAACCATCATGGGTAATCCAAAAGCCCATATTACTAAGATTTCTTATTCTCTTCATTCCTTAATAAACATTCAAAGTACAACAAGGAGCTCTGGGAAAATAAAGATATGACAGCTGAAAAAAATAATAGTAAAGGAGCTGGAAGTCAAAATAAAATAGTGGAACAATGGTAACGGAAAGGAGGTGGAAAAGATAAGGAAATATGAGGGAAAAGAAAAGAATATTAAAGCATCCACCCAGAAGGTCCAAGTAATGAGGTCTCAGAATGAGGAAGATCATGATAGAAAGAAAACCACTAAAGAAATTCTACAAGAGAATTCTATACAAAAGAAAACTATGAAAGTGAATAGCCCACTCATTCCCCACATCAAAGCACATTTTTGTGACTTTTCGAAACATCATCCTAAAGAAAGGACTTTCTTTCAGAGAGAAACAGCAAATTGTGTCCAAGGGTGGGGAATAAAAATTGAATCCAGACAGGACGTGGTGACACAGGAGTGGTACCAAAAATTCAGAGGCTCCAATCAATAATTGTATATGAATATAATTCTACATGCAGTCAACTATCATTTAATCATGAAGACAAATAAAGATATTTCAGATGTGCAAATCTTCAAAAGTTTTAATTCCAATGAGTTTTTCTCCAAAGGTATCAGATGATACGATCTACGAAAAAGAAGGAGTAGACAAAGAAAGATAAGGCTTGGAATCCAGTAAACACAGGATATAACATAGATTTTTCACAGATGAATCAGGGGAGAACTGTAAAACACGATATTTAGAACATGTCGATACCGGGGGACACAGTGAGGAAGCTGCAGACAAGCGTTCTACAACATGACGTGGACAGGAATGGACAGGGGTCC